GCTCCTGGTCCTCCAGGCGCAAAGACCTTCTTCCTGTCCCATAAACATATCCAGCTCTCCCCAGCCTCAGGGCCTCTTCCCACGGTTCCTCAGATGGCAGACTCCGCATCCAGCAAGTTTCGGCTGCAATGCCACCTCCTAAGAGAAGACTGCTCACCTGATTGAAACCCTCTGGCATAGCACTTTCTTTCTGTTGGTTTTTTTTTTTTTTTGGTTTTTTTGGTTTTTTTTTGAGATGGAGTCTTGCTTTGTTACCCAGGCTGAAGTGCAATGACTTGATCTCAGCTCACTGCAACCTCTCTGCCTCCCGGATTCAAGCAATTCTCCTGCCTTAGCCTCCGGACTAGCTGGGATTACAGGCAACCACCGCCACACCTAGCTGATTTTTGTATTTTTAGTAAAGACAGGGCTTCACCATGTTGGCCAGGCTGGTCTCAAACTCCTGACCTCAAGTGATCCTTGCGCCTCAGCCTCCCAAAGTGCTGGGATTACAGACATGAGCCACCACGCCTGGCCTGGGATGGCACTTTCTTTTTCTTTCCCAGCAGGCCATCACCATCTGTGATTATTTCATTTATTTGTCTGTCTGTCGTCTACCTCCCACACTCAGCCCAACTGGACTGTGAGCTCCATGGAAAGCCTTTACCTGTCTTGTTCACCACTGGATTCCCAGCGCTGCCTCTGGTGCAGTGCCACAGCATCTGACACAAAACCAGTGCTCAAGAAACATCTTAAATTAATTAACAGAATGGAGGGATTGGCTCCTAGAGTCAGGCATGAAGGAAAAAAAAGCTGCGCTTAGAGGTCTTTTCCATGCAAACCATTTGCATCCAGAGATTTATGAAGCTATTTCTCTTTCTCTTTTTCTCCCCTCACCAAAACGGGTATAGGATGGGGATATTTTCCATGGATTTAGGGAACTTCCAGCTGTCCAACTTTTAAAACACAGTCCATCCATCTGAGTATACGCTAAGAATGGGATGCTTGGAAATAGGGCAGCTTTATCCAGGGGCAGTGTATGTTTTTCTAACTAACTTGGGGTGGGGATGGAATGAAAGGTGGTTGAATAGGGCAGTGACTAAGCAGAGGATGATAGAGAGATGGGCGGGTATCAGGGAATTCTGCCCAGTGACCTGGCTCCTGAACACCTACCCAGTCAATCTTGCGACATTCAGCTCATCCCAGTGTAACCCTTACCCATCCACTCCTGTCCTGTTGGGCCTTGTATTTAATCCTGAAATCCCATCTCTTCTAAGAAGACTTCTCAGATTAGTTGTGGCAGAGTGAAAAGTGTAAAGGATTAGGGGGTTAGAGGACCTCAGTTCAAGCGTAGCCACTTCCTAGCTCTGTGACCTTGGGGGCATGTAACCTCACATCTCTGTGGCATAGTTGCCTCATCTTCAAAAAGGGGATAACAGAATCCACCTAACAGGATGTCTATGAGGATTAAAGAATTACAATATGAAAAATGCTTAGAACTGTGGGTGGTACCTAAGAAGGAATGAACAACTGATAGCTATTATTGCTGAAGATGGAAGATTTAAGGGCTATGTTCCCCTTTCATACCCATACACTTATATTTCCCTCAGCCACCACCCACAAGTATATTTTCCCTTCCATTTATCTGATGGGTCCTCTCTATGTCTTTTGCTGGCTACTAACCATTGGTGTTTCCCAAGCTTCTCTTTGTGCCTTTTTTTTTACCCTCTATGTGGTCCCCCTAGGAGAATCTCATCTTCTTACTTCTTCCATGACTTCAAGAATAGGCTGAGGATTCTAAAATATTATCTCTAGCCTCCAAGGCACCCCACCTCCTGTCCCACTTCCTTGAACTTCCTGTCACAGTTATTTTACACTCAGTACATTCCACAACCGGCATGGGATCTTCTGTCCTAAGACTATGCTTCCTCCTGTGTACCTTACCTCGGTTAACCTGACAGTCATCTACCTGCCATCTGAAGCAGAAACTTGGACTACCATCCAAGACTCCTCTCTCTCTCGCACCCACCAAGTCTAACTGATCACCAAGTCATTCAACTCCAGCTCATAATCACTCCATCCCTCCCTCTCCATCATCCCTGCCCCGAACTAATTCAGGTCCTTATTACCTCCTGCTTAAAATGGTACAACAGCAGCCTAATTAGTCTTCGTGGATGTCAAAGTTATCTGACTAAAACAAAAAAACTGATCACATCATTCCCTGCCTTAAAACCCTTTAATAACTCCCCATTGCCTGAAAGAGAAAGTTCAATCTTTTTACTATAGCAAACAAGATCCTTCATGATAAGGCCCTGCCTTTTTCTTCAAGTTCGCGGCCCACCATCCTCCCTCCCATGCTCCATGCTCCAGAAGTACTGAGCAACCTCCAGTCCTCTCACACATCACATGCTATTCCACTCCACCACATTTGGAATATGCTGTTTCTTTGGCCTGAAATACCCTCTCTCCTACCTCTACTCATCCTTCAAGAGCTAACACATTCAACTCCTCAATGGAGCCTTTCCTCACTCCTCAGTGATCACTCTGACCTCAGACCTTCTGTACACTTGGTAAATACTTCAGCAACTCTCACACACACTGAAATTAATGTTCTACACGCTTAAGTTCCTTATAAGGCCCATGTCTTTCTCATCCATTTACGTCCAGATGCTAAAACAATGTTTGGCAAATAGTAAGCATCAATAAAGGTCACTCAGTAAAGGAATGAAGGTACACTTTCTAGTCCAGCTTTGCATGTTTCCTGTTCATAATCAGCTGGTACAACTGTACAGTATTTTACAGTTTCCAAACATTTTCACTATGTCATTAAATTCATGTGTTTGGCCAGGCAAGGTGGCTCACGCCTATAATCCCAGCACTTCGGGAGGCCAAGGTGGGTGGATCACCTGAGGTCAGGAGTTTGAGACCAGCCTGACGAACATAGTGAAACCCCATCTTTACTAAAAATACAAAATTAGCCAGGCATAGTGGCGGGTGCCTGTAATCCCAGCTACTCGGGAGGCTGAGGCAGGAGAATCACTTGAACCTGGGAGGCGGAGGTTGCAGTGAGTTGAGATCACACCACTGCATTCCAGCCTGGGTAACAAGAGTGAAACTCCATCTCAAAAACAATAATAATAAAATAAATTAATAAATTCGTGTGTTCATGTACTTACTGCATATTAATTCTGCTGGAGACCACTGGAGTTACACCATCAGTAATGGGAGGGGGTGGGCCTACTCTGGAAAGGATGATCAGGGAAGGTCTTCGAGCTAAAAGCTAAAAGGATCTAAAGGACAGATGTGGGTAGAGAAAGAGAACAGACTTGAAACAAAAGCAAGAAAGCCAGTATGGCTGGAGCAGAGTAAGGTAAAGTGACTCATTCAACTGAAGCTTCTTAACCCATGAGATAGATAGGACAGATAATCCCCAAATTCAAATGTTACATGATTTTCCCAACTGATGAAGGAAGCCAGTAACAAAACCCAGCCTCGTCATTACAAGCCAGGCTTTTCCCAAATCATCAGTTGTCTATGACATTCACAGATACAGACAGGCACTGTCCAATCAGTATCCATTTAGCCATACAAGCACCTGAAATGTGGATATTCCAAACTGCTATGTGTTGTAAACGTAAAATACACACCAATTTCAGGCCTATTATGAAAAAGGAGTATAAAATATCTCATTGAGGCCGGGCACAGTGGCTTACACCTATAATCCCAGCACTATGGGAGGCCAAGCGGGGCGGATCACTTGAGGTCAGGAGTTCGAGACCAGCCTGGCCAACATGGTGAAATCCCTCTCTACTAAAAAACAAAAATTAACCGGGTGTGGTGGCGTGTGCCTGTAATCCCAGCTACTCGGGAGGCTGAGACAGGAGAATTGCTCGAACCCTGGAGGCGGATGTGGCAGTGAGCCAAAATTGCGCCACCGTGCTCCAGCCTGGGCAACAAAGTGAGACTCCATCTCGGGGGGAAAAAAAAAAAAAACTCATTGATAATTTTCATCCCAACTTTGAATATTTGGGGTAATCAGATTAAATAAAATATATTATTAAAATTAATGTCACCTCGTTTCCTTATCTTACTAGATTTTAAATTACATATGTGGTTTCTATTGGACAGCAGCGGCACACACCCTCTCAGTATGTTTTTCTTTATTAGGAGCTCCCCAAGGGCCAGTTTCTTGAAAATTCTGCACAATGATTGCTGAGGGGCTTGCACCTCCCCTCCTCTCATTCCAGTTTTAACCCCAGCTCTGAAATTTGTGTGTTGCTTAACTTCTCTGAGTTTCAGGCGCTTTTCATGCCATCCAATAGGAATGACAGCCACTTCGTGGCTCTTTCAGGAGAATTAAGTAAACTTTATCGGGCAATACTGGCAGCCCCGTCATAGTCACAGAGACAGCCAGCTCACCCGGTAGCTCTCGAAGGCCTCGTCGATGGGTGCCATGGCGTGGGTCTGGTGCTCCTGGGACTCCCTGCATACCAGGCACACGGGTCGCTGGTCGTCCTCGCAGAAGAGCCGCAGCGGCTCCCAGTGGCGGCTGCAAAGGCCCGGGGGCACGGGGCCCAGGCGCCGGCGCCGTGTCTTCTCCGTCAGCCTGGCCAGGGCCCAGTTGGGTCGCAGCGCAGCGGGCGCCGATGGGTGCCGGCATTCGGGGCAGGGGAACTGGCCTCCGCCCGGCGCCCAACTGCGGTGCAGGCAGCCGCGGCAAAAGTTGTGGCCGCACTCGATGGACACCGGGTCCTGGAAATACTCCAGGCAGATGGGGCAGGTCAACTCCTCCTGGAGGTCCTCAGCTTCCATGCTTCCCTGCCGCGGAGCCGGGGTCCGACGTGAGGCGAGGGAGAGGCCAGCAAGCTGCGAACGGCCGCGGGGAGACCTGACGACTTCCGAACCGCCGTCACCGCCTCACGTTAAGAGGGGACTGCGTAGTGTCTCTTCCGGGGTTCAGGATCCAAAAGGAAAGCGCGCACGTTGCCCGGCCTGCGCGCGCAAGACCGGAAACTGCTGGGTATCCGCGCCGGAAGCGCGCGAGGGTTGGCCCAGGCTTAGGCGCGGGGCAGGACGGAACCGTTGAGCGGCTCCTCCAAACAGGTATAGAGACCCAGAAATGCCCGTGGAAGGCTAGAGAGGACTCGGGCAAGGCATTAGGGCTGGACGTTGTGACCCCTGGTGGAGCCAACCGGGTAGGTGCCTCTAATCTTGGCCTTTCTTTCCAAGTTTGAGCGTTCAGGTCTGTGTTTGTCTGCTGGTTAGACTGATTTAACTTCTAGAGTCCCAGGAGTTCTGGGCGAGCTGTGGCCTAGGGACCTGAAATGCCAGGAAGACTTGAAGGATCTGTGTTGGTAGGCCTGGAGTTTGGCTAATGTGGGGATGATTTGGATTCAGAGATGCAGATATATTGCCTTTTTGGTATCCAATTTGAAAAGTAGCAACCATTTTGCTATCCCAAAGAACATCCATGGAGGCTTTCAACAAATAATATGCTTGACTGTTTCAGGGAATTATCTATATCCCTTAAGTGGATTTTTGATCTTGTGTTTCTGAGGTGCTTTGCTTTTTATTCTTCCCACTTTCTTCCTTTTCTTGTGAATGATATTTGTTTAAAAATTAAAAACTCTGGACTGACAAATTTAATAGAAGTTATTTGCACAAAGAACAATTCATGAATTGGGCAGCTCTCAGAACCAAAAGAGGTTCAGAGAGCTCTGCCCAGCAGTATGAGCTACTAGCTTTTGTAGGAAGCAAAGTAGAGAAATCACCTGATTAGCTAACATCTAGGTGTCTGCCTTATTTGGCAATGATATGATGAGGCATTTGCCTTATTGGGGTATGGTCTGATCAGTTGGCTGGCTGTTATTGGCTGAAGGTCGGCCGTGATTGGCTGAAACCCAGCTATTTGCTGTAAAAAATATAGTAAGTTGGTCGGAGGTGGTGGCTCATGCCTGTAATCCCAGCACTTTGGGAGGCAGAGGCGAGTGGATCACAAAGTCAGGCGATCGAGACCATCCTGGCTAACATGGTGAAACCCTGTCTCTACTAAAAATGCAAAAAATTAGCCAGGCATGGTGGCGGGTGCCTGTAGTCCCAGCTACTCGGGAGGCTGAGGCAGGAGAATGGTGTGGACCCAGAAGGCCAAGCTTGCAGTGAGCCAAGATTGCACCACTGCACTCCAGCCTGGGCAACAGAGCAAGACTCCGTGTCAAAAAATATATATATATATTTTTGATATATTTTATATATTATATAAATATATAATATATATTATATATAAATGAACCAAAGTCTAACTATATATATAAATATATTATATATTACATATTATATATAATATATATATAATATATAATATATATTATATATAATATATAAATATAAATATATAATATATATTATATATAATATATAAATATATAATATATATTATATATAATATATAAATATAAATATATAATATATATTATATATAATATATAAATATAAATATATAATATATATTATATATAATATATAAATATAAATATATAATATATATTATATATAATATATAAATATAAATATATAATATATATTATATATTATATATTTTATATATATGTATATAAATGAACCAAAGTCTAACTTACTCTATATATATATAAGTCAGGTTGTATTTTGTTATATAAGAACTCAAGTACCAAGACAGCCTCAGGCTAAGGGGCTTTTGCTTATTTAACAGATTTTTCATTCTTCTTATGTCCCAATATCAAATACTGCCTTTCCCATAATAATTTTTCTCAGTAAGTAATATGATTAAATGATTAGAAAAAGAGGTTCTTGAGATATCTGTTTTGGGGTTATTGCTAAAAGTTCCACTGAATATTTCTAAAACATTTAAATTAGACAACGAATGAATGGATTTTCTTTGTAAATTGGAATACTCTATGGAGAAGGAATCTGGTTCTTTAATAGGGACCAAGCAGGAAGGAATGCTGTTAACAGTTACTGATATTTACCATGAGTGTTTATGGCATCTGTGTGTCTGTATGTCTACCTAAGTATTGGATGAGAAGTTTCAGCATTCCTGCAAAGTATTTATTCCCCTTACTGTAGTCATTTAAATCTTTTCAGGTAAATCCCTTAAAATCCTTATATGTTCATTCCTGCCATACCAGAGATGACCTTCCTTCTTTAGTAAGTGATGCTCCCTAATTCACAATTTTTCTCCATCACAAAATGTCTATAAGTCTGTGTACCAGCCAAGGTTCAATCAGAGAAGTGGAATCACTATGTTTCTTTATGTTCACAGGGCAAGCAATTAAAAGGGAAGATGAACATAAAGTAGGGAAGAGCAAGAATGAATTGTAACTTAAGACACGAGTTGGTCATTCTTTCACTGTCTCCAACTTCAAAGATACGAGTATCCTTGCTAGAGGAGCTGACACTCTTTGCCACAGGACTAGACACACACATGGCTCAGGAATCAAAAAAGCTGAAGATGACTCAGGGGAAGGCTTCTGCCCCATCCCAACAAGGAGAACCAGCTGATTGGTGACAAAGTGCATGAGCTACAGTAGCACCTAGTGTCCCTGCACCACCGTTTCAACTATAAAACTGGAGGGATGCTTCGGTTCTGCCCTTCAAGACTTACACAACCATGTCTTTTCCGGGCTATTCTAACCAGAAACAAAAGAAAAGGAAATTCTGGGAAACGTAGTTTAGCTTAGCAAAGTTGAGATATTACAAAATTACCACTGTCCACTCTGTGTCGAGTTGACATAAATACAGCCCTCCTTAAAACATGCTTTCAAAATAAAGCCCACACCCTACACATAAACTATCTCTGGAGAAATTTGAAGTCTGTTGTGCACTGAGGATAACCACAACAACAAACTGTAAACCTAGCCCAATTTCTGACTAGATTGATACCACCAAACCACTGCTATGCACTCAAGAGCACTAAAGTCCTAGCAGAAGGAAAGACACATCTCCAAGCATTAAAAAAAAAATTTACTTCATACTGTGAAGAGGGAATTGAAAAAATAATTTAAGCAAAAAAATATATAACATGTCCAACTTTTAACAGAAAGAAAAAAAGACACATACAGAAAGGCAAGAAAAAAACACAGTTCAAAGAGATAAAACAATCATCAGAACCAGACTCATAAGACATAGACATTAGAACTGTCAGATAATTTTAAATAACTGTGATAAAGGCCCTAAGGGGAAAGTTAAACAAAATGCAAGCTCAGATGGGTGATTTTAGCAAATAGATGGAAATTATAAGGAAAAATAAAATGGAAACTGTAAAAATAAATATAAGGCCGGGCACAGTGGCTCACGCCTGTAATCCTAGCACTTTGGGAGGCTGAGACAGGCAGATCATGAGGTCAGGAGATCAAGACCATCCTGATTAACACGGTGAAACCCCGTCTCTACTAAAAATACAAAAAAATTAGCTGGCCATGGTGGTGGGTGCCTGTAGTCCCAGCTACTCGGGAGGCTAAGGCAGGAGAATGGCATGAACCCAAGACGTGGAGCTTGCAATGAGCCAAGATTGCACCACTGCACTCCAGCCTGGGCTACAGAGCAAGACTCCATCTCAAAAAAAAAAAAAAAAAAAAAAAAAAAAAAAAAAAAAAAAAACAATTATATAGAGTTGAAGAATGCCTTCCATAGGCCCATTAGGAGACTCAACACAGTTGAGGAAAACATCAAACTTGAAGGTAGGTAAATAGAAATTACTGAAACACACATACACACAAAAGAGTGACAGAAACAGAACACAGCATCCAAGACTGATGGGAAAATATCAATATCAAATCAAGAAATAATGGCTGAGAATTTCCAAAATCTGTGAGACACCAAACCAATCCAAGGATCTCAGAGAATACACCGAGCAGGATAAATTCTTTAAAAAGAAACTAAGCTTATTGTATTCAAACTAAGCTTTATTGTATTGATACCTGGTAGTTATAACTTACCAAATACACTGCCCATCATCTCCAGATGATCTATTATTTCTGAAAGTTTCCTTTATTACATTTCTTACTTCAGAGAGAGGAACTTTGATCAACTTTCCTCATCACTATACTAAAAATCCTGCCCAAGGAGGAGCTTATTCACCGTATAGCCTTGGCTTCGTGCTATGGTCAGTGTTGCAGTCAGTATTCTCAGAAAGAAAGGACTGGTTCCATTTTACCTCCATCTTTTGTTTCCTGTCAGAAAACCTACCATACCACCAAGTATGCCTTCTCTACACTGCCTCTGATGTTTAAGTAATTTTAGAATTCTGTTGAGACTATCTCCCTTTTTAGGTATCATGAATCTCATCCTAAATTGCATGCCAAAGACTTTGAGAACTAAGCTATGGGCCCAGTTCTCATGTCCCAGACTGGCCTTTCATTACCCACACAATGAATGGGTTAAATTGCTTGGCAGGTGACAGTCCAATGATCACAACCAAGGAGGATTTCCCAGGGGGATTTTATTACTTGCAATAAGTAAGGAGGACACTGAGAATAATTCCCCAAAGCATTGCCTCCCTGAGCAACGGTGCAAACATGGCTTTTATTAGTCTGGTTAGCTGAGTCACTGTATGTACAGGTGGAGTCAAGGCAGTGCAGTCCCAGTTGTCGGTCATGCTTCTACATATGTCACATGTATAGAAAATGGTTAAGCTCCTCCTTGGGCAGGATTTTTAGTATAGTGATGAGGAAAGTTGGCCAAAGTTCATCTCCAACTCAGGCATCTCTGGGTCCAACTGGTCTTTGTTTTTCCTGGGCTGAGCTTCTTCCTGGAACTTTTTAAAACAAAAATTCAAGATATAACAGTTACAAGTGGGTAACTTTTTCACCGTGCATACCCAAAAACCCAAGGACCCTGGGTTACACTTTAGGTGGTACCCATGTGGGACCTGTCGGAAGAGTACTACAAAGGCTTTGAAAACTGAACTGACATTGGAACCACAACCCTCAGAAGGCTGGTCAAAACTTATGACTTGAACCCAAATGGGTTAATTACCTTTTAAAACATAAATATCAAGATCCTCCACCAAACTTAACCAAGACCCAGAGCATCCTAATGACATTCAAAGTGTCCAGGATACAATCGAAATTAATTGGCATGTGAAGAACCAGGAAAATCCCAACTCACGTTGGAAAAACAAAGTAACAGATGCAGAATGTAAGTTGCCACACATGTTGAAATTATCAAGACTATAAAGCAGCTATTCAAATGGAAAGTTAAAAAGTCTCAGAGAAGTAATAGAAAATATAAAGAATAGCCCCATGGAAATTTTAGAATGGGAAAATACAAAAACCATCATCACATCATATCCAGGGTATGTGCTGTCAATATTGCTTATCACTGTTGATGTTAACCTTGATCACCCAGCTCAGGTAGTATTTGATGGATTTCTCGCCTGTAAAGTTATTCTTCCCTCTTTCCCCCTATTTTACTGTTTAGCGGGAAGTCACTATGTGCAGCCCATGCCTAAAAAGGGAGTAGCTGGTGGGCACAGTGGCTCACAGCACTTTGGGAGGCTGAGATGGGTGGATCACCTGAGGTCAGGAGTTCGAGACCAACCTGGCCAACGTGGTGAAACCCTGTCTCTACTAAAAACACAAAAATTAGCCAAGCATGGTGGCGCATGCCTGTAATCCCAGTTACTCAGGAGGCTGAGGCAGGAAAACTGCTTGAACCTGGGAGGCAGAGATTGCAGTGATCCTGCCATTGCACTCCAGCCTGGGCGACAAGAGCAAAACTGCATCTCAAAAGAAAAAAAAAAAAAGTGAGTAGTTATATTTCACCTCCTTGCGGTGGAGTATCTACATTCTTCTGCATGAGAAATTTGTCAGTTATCTCCTATTTATTCAATTATTTATATTATGAACTCATTGATTCTTGTTTTATACTTTGGGTTATAATCCAATACTACATTGTTTATTTTACTGCTGAGATTATTCCTGTGTTGGCCACTGGGAGCTTTTTCAGTTGACACCTGTGTCCCTTTGACAAACTCCTGTCATTTTGTGGGGAAGAGGGAGTAGCACTTTCTTTCTTTCTACCGCTACAAAATCTTCCAGTATTATCTTGTATTTCTCTTCCCTAACCCTAACGTCAATAATTTGCATTTCCCTAATGATAAATGATGTTAAACATCTTTTCATGTGCTTTCTTATTACCTATATGTCTTCTTTGATGATTACCAAGAACAGGAAGGGTAGGGGGGAAAAGTGGAGATGGTTAATGGGTACAAAAAATAGAAAGAATGAATAAGAATTAGTAGTTGATAGCACAACAGCGTGATTATAGTCAAAAATAATTGTGCATTATAAAATAGCTAGTATAATTGGATTGTTTATAACAGAGGCTAAAAAGGCTTGAGGTGATAGATACCCCATTTACCCTGATGTGGTTATTACACATTGCATACCTGTATCAAAATACCTTGTACACCCCATAAATATATAACCTCCTATGTGCCCATTAAAAAGGTTTTTAAAAAAGAAATAATGCTGAGACAACTGAATATCCACATGCAAAAGATAAAGTTTGACATTTATCTTACACCATACACAAAAACTAACTCAAAACCAACCAGAGACCTAAATGTAAAAGCTGAAACTATAAAACTCTTATGGAAACATAGGCATAAATCTTTATGGCTATGAATTAGGCAGTCATTTCTTAGGTAACACACAAAAATCATAAGCAACAAAAGAAAAAATGGATGTTAGACTTCATCAAAATTTAAAACTTTTGTGCATCACTATCAAGAAAGTGAAAGACAATCATAGAATGGGAGAAAATATTTGGAAATCATACATACAATAAGTATCTAATACCCACAATATATAAAGAGCTCTTACAATGCAACAACAAAAATACAAAAAAAAAAAAAAACCCAAATTATAAATGGGGAGAGGATTTGAATAGACATTTCTCCAAAGGAGATATACAAATAACCACTAAGCACATGGAAAATGTTCAATGTCATTAGCCATTAGGCAAGTGCAAATCAAAACTACAATGAGATACCACTTCACACCCACTAGGATGGCTAGAATTTAATAGATAAATAAAAAGTGTTCCCACATTGCTGATAGGAATGTAAAAATAGTGCAGCTGCTGTGGAAAACAGTTTGTCCGTTCCTCAAAAGTTGAAACGTGGAGTTTCCTTATGACCCAAACATTCTATTCCTGGGTATTTATCCAAGAGAACTGAAAACATGTGTTCACACAACCCTAAAACTGAGGCCAGGTGTGGTGGCTCAGGACTGTTGTCCCAGCACTTTGGGAGGCTGAGGCAGGCAGATCACCTGAGGTCAGGAGTTTGAGACCAGCCTGGCCAATATGGCAAAACCCTGTCTCTACAAAAAATACAAAAATCAGCTGGGTGTAGTGGTGCACGCCTGTAGTCCCAGCTACTCAAGAGGCTGAAGCAGGAGAATCGCTTGAACCCAGGAAGTGGAGGTTGCAATGAGCCAAGATCACACCACTGCACTCCAGTCTGGGTGACAGAATGAGACTCCATCCAAAAAAAAAAAGTGGTACACATATGTTCACAGCAGCGGTGGTCATAAGAGCCAAAAAATGGAAACAACCCAAATGTCCAGAAACTTGAAGAGTGTATAAACAAAATGTGGCCTCTCCTTAAACAAAATGTGGTATATCCTAACAGTGGAATAACATTCAACCATATAAAGGAATGTAATACCAAAACATGCCACAACATGAATGAACCTCAAGTTATGCTCAGTGAAAGAAGTCAGACATGAAAGACAACATATTGCACGATTCCATTTGTATGAAAAAGGAGGAAAACCAATAGAGACA